AAAAAGCGGACTTTGCCTCGACTCGTTGCTTGATAGTGTGACCGCCAGTGCCCTATGCATGGTTTCAAATGCCGGACGGGCTCATACCACGATCTACCTTCTACTACTGACTGCTGCACGGCCCATCTTCTCCTGCGGGGGCTGGTGCGGTTCATTCCTCCGTCGCCACACTAAATCGGGGAGGGCGGCAACAGCCACGACGACGGTAAACACCGAGGGGAGCGATGCCCTCCTCGCCCCATGAGGCCAACAACCTCCACGTAAGCACACGCACGAATACCTGAAAATAGTCTGACCCCCTCCACACCACCCCTTCCATCGACAAGAGGAATAGCATCATCCACACACGGCGGACGGGGTAAGCAAGCAACAAGCCCTACCGGGACCTCCACCCCAACACCACTAGCACCCCAAACGGGTGTTAAAAAACAAACACCGGCAACAACAACGCCGACGAACACACGAGGCAGGGCAGCGACCCACCCCCCCCCCCCTCAAACCCAACGAAAACCCGGCAGCATATCGCTCCGTCCCGGCATTGTAGGGATGCAAGGTCTACGGTCTAACGAATACGGCCATGCGTTTGCATGAGTACCCCCCCCCCCTCTCTCCCTGGTGGAAAATACTCGGTACGTATGCACACCACCACCACCACCGCTTTCCCGCTCACCACAGCATCATCCTTATCGCCAGGTAGAGCAGCACCGCCTCCAGCGACCACGACAAAAACAGCCTCGCCGTCCGCAGCGGCTCCCAAGCGCCCCCCTCCAGCCCGTCCTCTCTCACTTCCGATGCGCCCCCACTCCCCCTACCGCCGCCGCCGCCGCCACCCCCGCCTCTGCCGACGGAGCCAGACCAGCTGCGCTTGCTGGCGGGGGCGGCCGCCGCTGCTGCCGCCGCCGCCGCCGCCGCTCGATCGGTCGCCGCCGCCGCCGCCGTCGCCCGGAAACACCCGGTGGCGCACTGCCGTCTTAGCCCGACTCGCGCGTGCATCTTCGCGCTACCGCTGCTGCTGCGAACGCTGTCAGTGCTGCGAATGCTGTCGGTGCTGCCGGTGAACGTCGTGGCGGTGGAGGTGGAGGTGGAGGTGGAGGAGGAGAAGGATGTCTGTCGCTGGAGGGCCCCCTCTGGGGTCATGCCCGCCCGGCCAGGTCGCTTCCAGCCCACCATGAACTTGGCGCGCTCTATCGTGTCTGTCACGCACGCACACACACAGCACAGAAACACTCAGCATATTACCGTTTGAGTAAACAGAAAAAGTGTTGGGTGTTTTTGTACCCCGCTACAAAGGCCGACGAATTTTCATTGGTCTGCCTGTTAGAGCGGTCGATCCCAAAATAAAAAAGCACAGAAACACGCAGAAGCGCACCTAGAAAAAAAGGCGCGTTTCATGAATGCCGAAGGAGGTGGGTGGCTCATCTTCGCTGCGGCAGAGAGAGAGCACCTCTAAAACAGGGGTCAAGAAAATCGTCACATGTATCTCTCGACAGATCCCGGGAAGGCGCTTCCACGCAAACCATCGGCATCTGTTCGATGCCGTGCTACTGCAAAGAGACACACAACAAACGCAACACTAACACACACGACATTCTCCAAGCAATCTCGGACAACCATTGCTCACCCTCCTTGTGCACCCCCCATCGAAACGCCAGGGTGGAACTCCGTCGCTGCCACAGCACCAGGAACAGCTGATTTCCGACGTCGCGTTCGCGAGAAGAAGAAAGAAGAGAGCCAGCCACCGGCATTGTTCAAGACGAGATGAGAAAAATGAAGGGAGGCGTGCATGCGCGCAGACCGCGAACATGCAAGCGCCGTGAAAAACACGCCCAACGACGTACACACAAAAATATCACAAATGACAAACCTCGAGACGTTCAACGCTGGTTACGGTAACGAGAAATAACGCAAGGAGAGACACACCTTCCCAAGCGAAATAAAACGATGGGAAAGAAACACACACACACACACACACACATCGGGATGGGGGGATAGCGCTCTTCTCTTGCAAACGGGATGCATGCATGCATCCAACGGGGCTTCTTCTCACGCCTTATCAGCTAACCTTTGCTCGGCACCATTTAGCCCTGACTGCCGCCGACGCCCCGCCTTCTCTCCGCTGGGCAACCCCCCCCCCCCCCGCGTTCCTGTTCTCTCTGTCAAAACACAACAACACATTCCGTACAGCTCTCACACCAAGAAATATGTGGTAGATAGGATAACAAATACGTCCTTGTCTGCCCTCAGACAGCTCTCTCACCGTAGCCCACACGGCCAGGAAGAGGTTGAAGTACGGCGCCATGGACGTCGGCGGCTCGCACTCCACACCCCCCACCGGTACCGGATCCCATTCGCCGTCACCCCCTCCCCCAACAAGCTCGTCGGCACCTCCCCCTCCCCCTCCTCCAGGGAAGAAGGCTACGGCTTCTCCACCGGCGTGTTCCTGTACCACTCCCGCCGCCGCCGCCGCCGCCGCCGCGGAGTAAGAAGAAGACGCGGAACGCGCGGAGCTATCCGCGAGGGATGTGACCACCGCCACGGGCCACCGCCACCACGACCCGCAAGCGACGCCGCTACCGCCGTCACAGGCCTGCTCTCGCTGGACTGGGGAGGCGGCGGGTAGGGGTTTTGGGGGCGGTCGCGGGCGGTCGTAGAAAAGACACGCGTGCCAAAGCAAGGGCCAGAGACACACAACCGACGAGCTAATGCGTAAGGTTTAAGATGATGAAGACTTGGGAGAAAGGTAAAGGGTCACACGCACACGGCAGGATTACTTACATGCACGCTTCCAGAGTGCACACGCTGTCCAACGCATCAGCAGGCCTCTTAGTACAATCCTGCTCAATCACACCATTCTTGACAACAGTAGTACGCTACACTAGCAACGCATCTGCAGCCTGCTCAACACAATCCTGCCGCGGGTCTCACTGCTGTTGGAAGTGCTATCACCACAAGCTTGTATGCATACGGTTACCAAGCTGATCGAAATCGCACCGTCCGGCCCCGGCAGCGTAACACTGCTGTAGTGGTAACAAAATGTGGCAGCGTATAGAAACGCACGAACGAAGTGAAAGGCTGGTAGTGAGCCCCACCGTAACGCAGCAGCAGTGCTCCTCTCCCCCGCTGCAAGCAAGAAACTGCCGTGAAGACAGCAACGCTTGCACTGGTACGAACCACCGCACCAGAGCACAGCCGTAGGGCACCAGCAGAACAGCAGCGATGGAAACCAACACAGGTACTGGTACGGACCACCGCAGCCAGCGCAAAGCCGTACGGTACCAGCTGCACCGCAGTGATGAAAAAAAAAACAGTACACACACATACACATACACACACACACCTTGCACGCAGGTGCCCGAGGACTCGGCCAGGCTGTTGACGCGCTCCGTCCACCACACCAGCAGGCCAACCACGGTAGGGAAGACAAGGGCCGCGGTGTAGAACTTGAGCCACGCGAAGTAGTAGCCGACCTTGGTGCCTGGACGAAGACGACAAGGAGGGTGGGGAGCAAAAGGGAAGCCGGGTGGGTGCAGGAGCGCGCGGGTCGCGAACAAAAAAAACAAGCAAACTATACGCAACCATGGTATTTGGCAGCGCACGAAGAAAGCCAGACCATCGCCAAGAAAGCAGGATGCCTACACACGTCTGCGACAGTTTCATGCACACCTGTCTGTGACGGTTTCATGCTCACGTCTGTGATGGTGCAATAAACACGTCTGTGACGATGTTACACACGTCTGTGATGGTTCAACAAACGCGCCTTGTGACGGTTTCATACATAGCTGTCCAAGTCTAGGGGACCAACCGAGAACAAACAAGGCTAAGAGGGACCGTAGATGTTGGGGGCGACCAAAGTACCACCTGGGCCACGCCGGGTCACACCTTGACGCATGCGTGCCAAAACAACAGACCCGGTGAGGTAGTCTTGGAGAGGGGGAGCACCCACCTATCGCAGCAGCACGTCCACCACACAAACTGCGACTAGATAGGCACTGCGATAGCCAGGGGCCGCGACTAATCTCACCAAAGTAGGAAGCGATGGCGTCGAGAAGGACGTCTCCGCGATCCCAAAACATCCGGTACGGGCCCTGGAGCCTCAGAAGCTATTACACATCAAATAACAGAGAACACCATTGCAACAAGAAGGGGGGAGGGGTTAAGGGTTGTTAGAACAAGAACACTTGGACACCTCGCACCCGCTAAATAGGACGAGAGCCGTCGCAAGCAGCACCGCCGCCGCATCCTGACTGGCCCCGAGGAACACACACGCGGGGGGACGGCGGACGGGGCGGGCCTGCGCGACTAGGGTACCCGCTTGGACAACGACCATACTCCGTCGCCACGTACTACGACGAGGCCGTATATTCCCTCCGTCGGCTACTCTTCTGTTGTACTTCACACTACGCACTTACCCTAACCTACAATTTTTTATTTTTTTTTTGTACACACAGTGCTGACCACCCTACACTGCAACACATGCTCCATTCTACCTCTTGTAGATACGCTGCACGCCGTGTTTGGAGACGTGCGGGCAAACTGTGCAGAGTGACGCTGAACAAAAACGATAAAAAAAACGGGGTTCTGTTGTGCTCGAGTTGTTTGCCACCGCAGAAGCATCCGCGCCGACCTTCTCTCCACACCACCTGGCGAGCGCGTGTTCTGTGCGCCACGGCTACCCACGGGTAGAGATTGCTCCGTTCTCACCCCGCAAAGCGTGGACCGAACATTCGGGTCCGGATCAACAGAGATCCCATGCACAAACAAAACGAAAAGTGTTTTGTCCAAACAAACACACACACACACACAACAAAATCCACAATTGCAACACGCCGCACGCACGGACAGAGAGACAAGGTGCCCACAGTTGTCTGATTGGTCAACGGGTTTGAAAGGACACTTCCGGTTGGTGAAAAATCCCTGGTTGACCGGTGGTGTCACCGAGGGTCGTGACGCATACTACATGCTACGTTCTGTACTGGCTACATGAAGCTGCACGCCATGCTCTACACGTCGTCGGTACACCAGCACAATACTCACCCCTCCCAGAGTGTTTTGCTCGTGAAACAGAAACATCTCCTTGTAGGACAGGATCTTGTTTTCCTTCGCTTCGGCCAGCACGGAAGTTGCCGCCTGTTTCAGAATTTGTGTGTTTGGACGGGGGGGGAACCGGGTCACGTGATACGCAAGGTAATGAGAGTACAATGAGTGCAATGGATCGGGGGGGGGGTTAAGGGGGTGGCGGAGGTGGTAGTAGCAAGGTAAGTGGGCTATCGACACCCGGAGCCATCACATCGCGCTTGACCTAACATACTGACGGGTTATCCAAGACAGGACAGCCAGAGCCATTATAGCACATCCGTTGTGACACATGTCGGCGCAAGCACACAAAACACACCACAAAGAAGACACGAAACAAGAGACAAGCAAAGGATGGACGACTTAAAACACACATATCCTGCCATGGCGTTCTCCCTACTGGAAGGGATGTGTGGGGCTGCTGCTGCTCTGCGTGTGCTCGAGGGAACGTAAACATATATTCTTGTGAAGATGCTGAGCTAATTAATTGACCCTTTTGAGCGTATGCATGCATGCATGCACGCGAATAATAATGCCACCCATGTACGTAACTACGTCTTGGCATGTGACATATCGTATGTCACCTGCACGAGCGAAGTCCGCTCCTCGTTCGAAAGATCCTTGGCGTGCTTCGGCGGTCTCTGCATGATCGATCGATCGATCGATCGATCGATCGAAGGTGTGCGGCAGAGTGGGAGAGACGAAGGCGAAAGCACAAAGGGTGTACAGCAGGACGCGAGGCCGGGGGGAGGGAAGGCGGGGGGGGGCTGTCGGACGCGCAAAACAAGATAGCACATTCACCCACCACGCAAACCAGTTTCAGGTGGCCCGAAATGCGGAAGCCAGGCAACGTATCTTGCTATTATAGTTGTATTAGAGACCTCGAGACCTGACGGATGCATCCCGTTAGATCCGATGACAAACACCACGAAAGACCCGCCGGGTGCTGCGAACGTTCGGATGGATCCTGAACACGGGGAAGAAGAGTGCCTACCAAGAGGGCCTCTCTCGGTCGAGGAAGCACTGCAGGCTGCCAAAAAAATCGACGTGGTTTATCCTTGAGAGTCAGACGAGGCACCCAACAAAAACTATCACATGAAGGCTACAAACAAGACCTTTCGAGTGCACCTACTTTTCAAGAGGCACAGGCAACATGGCCAAGCGATACGTCGGGGTTGAACAAAAAACACACACAAAAAAACGGCGGCATATTCTAAAAAATGGTGATCTTGGTGGGATTGCGACACCGCAAGCAGGGAAAGGAAAATGATGTATGCCTACATAGCACCACAAGCCCTGCAAGAGACCATGTATCTACCGCCGTGGGGTGAGGTGCACTGCCATAACACCACCGCTGTTTCTCGTCGTGGCGAGAGATGCGCCTTGCTCGGGGAGAACTCACGGTCGGGTCCTTGGTGATGGCCGCCCTCAGCAGCCGCTCGGGATCGACCCACAGGCATAGGTCCAGCCCCTCCCGCTTGCGCTTGGACAGCTGCGACAATAGTGAGCGAGTCGAAAGAAACGACGACGACGGGCACCGTTCAGGCCGACACAGCACGTGGCTGTTGACATGGAATATGTACCCGCCAGCAACGGGTGTATGCATAGGTGGCTCTTGCCAGATGTTCGCATGAAAATGATGCGGGATGTTTCGCGCACTTCAGGATAGCCTACATCTCACGGGGGTGCGTACACCTCACGCGGCGTAAATTCCTTCGGTCGGCATTCCCCTCGGCGCCCCTCCCCCCCCCCTCCCAATCACGGGAACAGTTCTCAATGATCAGATGCGAACACGTTGAGGAAGCTCTCAGGCATTTGACCGCTGCTGCTGCTATCGATGCTGCGACAGCTCACTCTTCATTGTTCCGCGCTGGTTACGCCGCGCCGTCATCAAACAACACGAAAACAACAACGCTAACTTTCCCCCAAACACATTATGGCATTTAGAAATGTTTCGTGTTTTCAACCGCACTGAGACTGAACGTCTTCGTCATTGGCCAGCCGTTTAGCGCGGTCGATGCCAATAATAAAAACAAACGCGTATGCACACAAAAAGACGCACCTCGAAAGTAGCGTCGGCCCTCAAAGCCAGCACATCATGGAAACCCCTTTCCGCGAGCCACTTGAGAAGCGTTTGCTCCGCATCTTCGTCGGGGACGGTCTTCCGCGTGAGGTGTACCTGGATCAGCGCGAGGTCAGCTCGAGCTTCGGGCGGGACCCTTCCCGACTCCTGAGCGAGCTCTTTCGTGAGTAGCTCGACGCCCGGAACTGTCAGACCCACTGTAGGGGAGAAACGGGGGACGGGTACACAACAATACGCGAAGCTGTAAGGGATGAACGCACGGAAGACACACGTAACAAGCACATTCCTTTCCGTTTGCGTTGAACTTGTTGCCTCCCACTCAAGCTTGTCCTACTTTTTTTTTTTTTTCTTGCCGCAAAAAAATCAAATCAGTCCCTGTGCCTAGATGAGCAACTTCCAGAATGTTGCCACTCGTGATTCATAAATGGTAGAGTTGAGAGACCTGCCTGCTTTTCTACTGATCCTCGCGTAACATAGAGCGATAGCTCCCACGTGATTAACGGGGGTCACCAAGAGGGAGCAGTTTGGCGGACAAGCTGCAGCGACAACTGCTTGTGTTTTGTCGAAGTCTTGTCCAAGAAGCACAGCGTGCGGTGATGTCTCATACAATTCTGCACGAATGTTCCCTCACCTTCTCCGTCGCTCTTCCCCGACTTGCCACGCTTCGGCAGGGCGCGCATCACGCCCTTCGGGACTCCCCAACGAGTCATGACAAAGCGGGCGTGCTCCCCTGTTGGCAGCTTTGATGCCCTCGAATGCGGGCTTGTTCTCGTTGGTCTCCCCGCTTTCGGGAAGTCACGGCGTAAAAAGCATCAGATCAACCCCACTCGCGCTCTCCAAAGTTCCCAGAGAGTGGGAGAAAGACAGATGGAGAGGGGAGGAAGGGAGAGAGACAGAGAGAGAGAGAGAGAGACCACCTAGGCGTCAGGGAGCGTATGCCCTTTTCACAGCTACAACCTGCTGCGGCTGCGGCTGGCTCGGGGGGTGGACGGCTGGTGCGAGCAGGGTACCCATTAGGAGCTCCGTGGAATTAATGAACAGTCCCGTGCGGAAAGACAAAAAACGACAGCAAAAAGAGACAGAGTTACAGGCCACTCACCGACCTCCCAAGCCACCCCACGTACTGCATACACGTCTGTCTCTCCACCTCTCCGTGCATATACTGTCTTTGTCTCTTCGTCTATCCAAGGAACGAAAGAAAGTAACGGGCGCAGGCCGTGAGGAAAGGCGACGGCTCAGAGCTCATACAAAACATGCAGCATTATTAGGATCATGCGACAACCCTGTAGCCAACTTATTCAATGCCCATAGCCAAAGTAAGTGCATCACCGACAAACTGCTACTGGTGATGCTGTGAAGTGCTGCTGGTGGCGGTGCTGCTACCTTGATGGTGAAGGTAGCAACACGTCGGCTGTAGCTGCCGTGTAGTGTTCTTGGTTTGCTTCCATCAACTCGGAGGAGGGACCAGGGACGCGTATACCGTATATGACACGAGATAACACACCCCCTGGCCCGATTTTCAAAGCTCGATTACTCGACGACGAAGAGGACGCATAAACAAAATGATACATTTTCCAAAAGCTCTCAACGAGACGGTTCCAACGCCGCCATTTTCGGCGCTGTGAGTCTTGCTGCTGTTGAGAAATCGAGCTTTGAAAATCGGTCAAGGGGGTGTGTTATCTTGTGTCATATACGGTAGACGCTGTGGACCTCCGTCAATAGTCAATCGCTGCATCGAAAGGTGAGCAGTTCTCAGCCGCGTCGCCACGAAATCTTCCTGTATGCACAAAATACAGACTGTTTCACGAGCTGCTCGCGGTTGGTGCTCTCTACGAACTACCGACGACACACATACATACAGGGGTTGGAGAAGGGAATCTGCTCACTGTGAGTGTTCAACGACGAGGATTTTTTATTGCTTTTTGTGTGCCGGTTTCGGTAGAAACCTACAGAAAATAATACGTACGTACGATGGACCCGTGGCCGTCCAGGTATGTATGAACATCATGTTTCGTGCTGGTCGAGGCGCAAAAGGTCATGGAGGAAAGCACAATAATAATAATTCATCAACAGGGGTCGGTCTCGGATACTACTTCCTTCCCAGTTTGCCCCGTAGATAGATGTGTCGAAGAAGAAGAAGAAGAAGAAGGTGGTCGTGGCGGTCATGCCGCATCTACCTACAATCTAGACTAGTTGCCGAGCTCACGAAGTGAGGCTTGTTTTGTTACGTCGTTGCCAAGCGACGAAAACCCAAACTCGATGGCAAACACCGAGGGGGGGGGCTTGTTTTACAACGTCGTTGCCAAGCGACGATAACCCAACCCCGATGGCAAACACCGGGGGGAGGAGGAGGTGAACAATCTTTTTGCGGGCAGTGGGGACCTGTAGGAGACAGAGATAGATGAGTTTGTTCCTGTTGTGTGTGCTACCTTCTGATCTGGTACGACTGACTGACATTCAACCAACAACTAAAAATTATTGTCAGACCATCCGTTTTAGAATGAATGATTGATCAAGACTACTTACTACTTAGTTGTTAGTAACACAGACTCGGCGTTCGTACGAGCCTCCTCGTTGTTGCATGTATGTATGTATGTATGTATGTATGTTCGCACGACGAACGAGCATGTCAATGTGTAGGAACAACAGGAGAGAGAGGTACTACTGTACAACTCTCTCGATCGTCATCGTCGAACACCCTACTCTCCTAATCATGTTCATTCGTTGTTCTCTTCGTTGACGTGGAGAAAACAGGTTGATCGATCGGGATATATGCGCACAACGTTTGTTTGCCAACAGTGAACGAAAAACGTTGTGTTGTCAGGAATAAATTGCTACCAGGGCGCCAACGTCTGGCTCTCTGGCTCTATCTTGTTAGAAAGAGAGACGTCTTCTGCTCCCAATGTTTGCCCGCATCCACGAGTGAGTGGAGTGCTGTATCGACCATCCTCCAGTCGTACCCCTTCTGTCAGTTAGGTAGAAGTTATTTCGCCGTCGTGGCGGTGGTGTTCTCCCCATAACTAACTCCGGCCTGTTCGCGTCATGAGTCTCCTAATGACACTCATATTGTTGTCTCATGACGCCTGCCTTCCTTCAAATTGGCTGTCCCGACCAAGTGAGTGCTGCGTGTTAATGTTTTGGGTATACTGAGGAACGACAGCCAGTTTCCGTACAGCCGCCGCATCATCATCACCAGCAGTGGAGGAAGACAACAAACGCTTGTGACCTCAAAACCCGTTTACTCCGCCGCTGGGGGCGTTGGTTGGAGGGTTCGTTTTGCCATGAACGACCAGCATTATTTGGAAGCACCACAGGCATGGAGGGGTACTGTTCAACCTGACTGAGGGGTCTCTTTGACTTCCGCAGAGACACCGACCAGCAGCCAGTGCACATGTGCACATACACATACATACATATGTAGATATCGGTTTGACGGCGGCACGCAGTAGTAGTGCACGCTCACGACGAAAGAGGCGACGACTCGCTCATCATTTGAAAAACACGATGAACGAATGTCAGAAGTCATTCACGTGGCCTTCAGAGCCGATTACTACCACCGTCACCATGTATCGGCGATTCACGCAATCAAGAGAAGAATCAAGCAGCCGACAACGTTAAATAATCGTGACAACACCCAGTGATGCACCGTAAAATCAAAGGGCATGTTCTCCCACCACTTCGAGCACACAAAAGACACGGACAAAATAGAGAAGACCCCCACCCAAACGAACCCGCGAAATGGCCTGGGCATCGCCGGAAGAACCACGACCAAGTCCGACTTGCCTGCCTGCCTGCACAGCCCACCAGCAGGATACCATCACCCCACAATGGCTGGCGAAGACCCACCGTAAAACACGTTCTCGCGGAAAAGCCAATCCAAACTCTCTGACGCTTATTGCAGCCAGCCCGACATCTACACGTTTCTATGGTGCTGGGGCATAAAGCCAAGGACAGCCACTTGTTCGCGGCGCAATGCGCCGGATGTACATGCAAATCCGGGCTTCCCCCACAGCAACAACACGGTTTTTTCTTGTACCATTTTCGTCAAAACTTGCGACAGACACCCTTGACGCAGCCACCACGAAGACAGAAGCGCGACTGCTGCAATAAGGATAAAAACATACTATGGTACGTCACAAGCAGTAGTAGTGTGTTACAAAACGCATAATTTTACCACTCCCATCCCTCTCACATGAACGCATGCAGACTACAGTACTAAAAAACGACAATATGAGTTACCTTAGTATAACAAGGCGCCGTTCGCCATTTGTGCTCTTTCACCACCAAGATGAAAAGTCATTCATTCAATTCAATCCAATGCGCATGCCTTGCGATGTGAAAGCCTGTACCACTGGGGTCTCTACCCTACGCTCGGGGCTCAAACTCTACGCCTGAAACCATACACTCATGCATATACAACAAATCTAGAGGAATGGAAGAGCGGGGGGGGGGGGGGGGGCGGCGGTACAAAACAAAACGACCTACAAATTTTACAGTCCCCGGAGTACTCCAAAACATAACTCGAAAAATGCTGGAATTAATTTTTTTTTGAACAAACCAAACAAAAACCCTTACCCCCCCATCCTAATCTAATCCTCCCCCCAAAAAAAAAACCCACCCCAAAAAAAAACAAATTTGCAACCGGAACACCAACACCCACCCCCCTTTTAACCCCACCCGTCCCTTCCCCAAAAAAAAAACTAAACCATCCCCCCCCCCGGGGGAAAGGCGCCCCCCAAAAAAAACCAAACACCAAAATCAAATCCCCTTCAATATTCACACAAATACACCCCTACCTCCCTTCCTTTCCTTCCCAAACCCTACCCCTACTTTAATTCAAAAAAACAATCAATCCCTAAAAAACCAATCCAATTTTTTTTTCTCCCTTTTTTTTTCCCCCCTACATCT